TATTAATCATGATATGATTTTTATCAACATTATATGCTCTTGTTCTAGTTTATTAGGCTAGCATTTACTATAGGCCTGTTTGGTAGAGCTGTGGGAAAGTGCTTATAGCTTATGCCTAAACACCTTATAGCTTATAATTATGAACATAAGCTGATTTCTGACTTATAAATTAAGCATCTCTTGCCCCACTCAAAGAATAAGCTGATTTCTGACTTCCAAAAATGTATAAGTTATAAACTATAAGCTAAACCAAACACATCAAAACAGCTTAAATTAAGCTGAAAGCTGAAATAGGCAGCTTTTAAGCTGCACCAAACAGGCACTATGTGACGCGCGCACACAAGGTATAGACTAGCTTGCCTGAATTGGAATAATTCAATTTCATGTTTGTTTTTCGAAAAGGGTTTGATTTTATCACTTAACAAAGTGGGCTTAAAGCTTGTGAATTTGCCACTTGACAAAGTGGGCTTAAATGTACATTCATTGAATCATTCCAATTCAAGCAACAAGTCTTCATCCACAGGCACTCAAACAATTTAACAAGTAAGCAATTAGCCTCATGGCAGTCATGCTAGTCATGGAAGTTATTCACACTCATGCAAGTTTGCCAAAGCACTAGAAACTCATATAGTACTCCATGCTAAGATAAAACAAAAGAGTTAGAAAAATATGCATGATACCTAACTATGCAAAATGGCTAATGCAACGCATGCAATAATGCAACTGAAATAGGCTCGGCTACTTAACATGTTAGTTGCAACAATTTCATAGCATGCATTTAAACACGTATTCAACGAGGTAATAAACGACAATGCAAGTTTGGATGATGAATCGAGCCTCAATATATACTAGACAAATGAATGGATGAAAACACGCGATATGCTAATTGAAACGTGATGTCTCTAATCTAACCATCAAAAGCGGATAAATAAAAAGGAGAAAGACGTGGGGTTGAAAGACATACATATTATTATAACATTGATGCCCTCACACAAAAGGGTCCGAATGAATAAACTAGCTAAGCTAAACTATTTAACTAATTTACAAAACTTGAATAAATAATTAACTACCTCTAAGCTAATTAAATATTACGGCAATTAAATAATTAATTATGCTAAGCTAATTAATTAAATAACAATAATGAACTAATTTAATTAACTACTTTAAGCTAATTAAATAAGTACAATACGAAGCTAATTAACTAACTACATTAACTAATTAATTACAAAGCGACTAATTAAACTAGCTAACTAATTAATTACAACATGAATTAATCAACTAGCCTCAGTAAGTTATTAAAACACGTAAGTGCAACAACTAAATGACAAATGACTAATTTAAACTAATTAACTAGTCGGGAGGTGAAGAAGGCCCATGCATGCTCGGTTTCCACCCAAAGAACGTCCACTGTTTACTCCCGAAAGGCTCTGTTGCACAACCCTTGCACTTGTTTTTTTTTTTCTAGATCAATTTTGCTCTGCTTCATAAACATTTTGCTCAAAATTCACTGGTGGCCGACTGGCCACCAATAGGGGGTTGCTGTCCAACACTGATGGCCTACAGGCCAGGAACAATGGCCGGCCAGCCACTGATGATGCACAATTTCTTGCTGCAACAGAGAGCAAACAGAGCAAAGAGAGAGTCTTCTCACAGGTTGTTTGTACTGTGTATCCCTCCTTACCATCAAAATAAGCTCAAAAGAGCGATACACTTGGTTCAAAGACCATCAATCAAGCAATTTCATTGCATGATGGCTAAAGAACCAAGGTGTATAAGTTTAATCAATACACAAACAGACTAAAAACCTTCACCCTATCATGCATGATCAAGGGCAATGGTGACCTTAGAAAAATTGGCACATTTCATCACTTTGAGTATGAAATACCTAATTTTCTTTGTGTTCAAATTACCGTCCGATTTGAATACACACAAAAAAAAAAAAAAAAAAACAACTTATCTTTGCACAATTTTAATTTCCACTTTTAGTTACTCATTTTAATTACCCTTCCATTCTTTAACCAATTAAATCCATTGGTGAGTTAAGTCCTCTAAAACAGAAGGAAGTGTCAAACAAGGGGTAGTTTAAGGCAAGAGAGAGGTGTCATGCCGTTGATAATGAACCTCCAAAAGAGGATTAAACCATTAAGCATGGACCTCAATCTCAGGCTTAAACAATCCTAAGGTTGAAACAACCCTCAAAGCAAACAAAGAGTCAAGAAATGAGGGAGGTTGCAGAGATTATGCTTGCTAAAATTAAGTAAGAAAAGCACTAAAATAGTGCAATCAACTCAAACAAGTGGTGTCTAAAGGTCTAAAACATCAAGTTTGTGAGGACACTTACACTAGAAGCATGCAAAATAAGACTCAAATGCAACAGCCATCCAAAAACAGAGGCAAGATAGTCCACAACAGGGGTTAAACATGCTGTAATTAAGCTATAAAAGGCTAGAAAGTCAAGCTAACACATAGAGCTTACTAGGCTAGCAAACAAGGCATAAGGAAGGGAGGCTAACCCCTCCAAATTTGGACTTCAAAACATGATTTTCACCACTAAAATTACTCTGAAATTCAGTGTTCAAAAGCCCAAAAAAAGATGGTTTGAAAGTGGAAAACAAAGGTGGAAAGACCTTACAAACAAGGAAGAAAGAAGGGTGAACCACCCCCTACCTTTAAATGGCCTACAACCACCAATTTCAACCCACAAAAACAAAGTTTTTATAGCCTAAAAACAGCCCAAAATTAGTGGGAAAAAGATAGAAAAACAAATATGCAAAGTAAGTTGAAAAGGCAAGTGTTGTACTTCTTGAAGAGAAGACCAACTTTAGACAACAATTCAAGCCAAAACCACCTTCTAGAGCTCTAAGAAGGCCTCAAGGAACCTTAACTCAAAGATGAACCACTTTGGTTAAGGAGGTGTAGGCAAAAGTGTGGTGTATCTAAGCTACGATGCATAAATTTGCACAACAGAGAGAGAGAGAGAGAAATGTAGAGAGAAAGAGATAAATTTTGCTCCAAAATTCTAACCCTCAAAAATGGGGGAGGAGACCCCCTATATATAGAAAAACATGCACTTGGCTGAGATATATCCCTTCATACACGTATAGGGAGATGTAGCCAATTGTGCCAACAACTGGCACAACTGTTAACAAAAAATCTGAAAAAAGACATTGATGGCCGGCAAGCCACCACCGTTGGCCGGCTAAAACACAATTGGTGGCCGGCAGTTTCAAACAGTGGCCGGCTGGCCACCAAGGGTTGCAGGCTTTAAGGTTTTGATCCAAAACAATGCATAGAATGGACAAGGTTTAAAAGCTCAAAGACAGGGCATTCCACCGAGAATTTCGAGCACTAAAATGAACACATGCAGTCATAATCATCGAGTGCACAAGCGATGACGTCCAAGTCTTGAGAACGGTCAAAAATGGGGTATTTACAGGTTGTCATCCTTATCGACCACGACTGTCACCTTGTTGCCGAATGACCGGCCAGACGACCGGCAAACTAAAATTCAAATTATTTAAGCAAGTCAAAATTCGAGCGATGTAGCATTGTTTCTTAAAAAATTGAGTAAAACCCACAAGTTCAAGTATAGGAGAGGAGAGTGGTTTAAAATTTCTTACCCAAATTTAAATTTAATATAAATAAAATGTGAGAATTAGATATGCTGCAATATACTATTTTCGAAAAGGCAAATAAAAACATTTGATTTCCAAATCTAAAGTTTTTATTTTATTTTAATATTTATAGAACTTTTGAAAGAAAAAAAAAAATTCTCTAAATTACCAAAGTCATGCCAAAATTTTGTGCCGTTTTGGGAACTACGGAAAAAAGCCATGTTTTTGATCATTTTTCAAAAATGTAAGTGGCCAAAAATGTAACAAAATTAGTTTGGGAAGTTATAAAATCGCAAGTGTGAAATTATAAATTGGGACTTATGACAAAAAAATAAAAAATAAATTTCTTATGTTGGGTAAAGATATTTTGATCATTTTAATTTGATTTGACACCATAAATAAATATTAAACTAAAAAGTCGAAAGCCAGTTTTTTACCAACTTCCCAAATCACTTTTCAAAAAGTTAAAAAACTTAGTAAAAAATCAAAAAATAACTTTTTACCAACTTTCCAAAATTTTAAAATCACCTTTTATCAATTTGGAGTCTACTTTGATATTTGGACACAACATTTTTATTATAATTTAATTATAACACTCAAAATAACAAAAATACTAAAAGTATTAAAATATTGCTCTTAAATTTATGTAGACATTGTAAATGTTTCAATCTTGACTGATTAATTTTTAAATAACTCCATGAATAATATTAAAAATCATAAAAAAAAATATCATAAAATTCTTCATGAAGATTTCTCCTCTTTCGATCAGTGTGTGGTGCTTTCTTATACGTGTAATCTAACGGTGGAGAATTTTTATGATCATTTTTATGATATTTTTTTTCCTGATACCTACAATTACTCTAAAAAATCTATAACTAACATATAGGGGTGTTTGAAAACTTACTTTTGAGGATAAAATAGCCTAAAAAAAAAAAAAAAAAAAGGGCCCAAAAGCCTTTGAACCAAAAAAATTTTCAAAAAAAAATAAAAATAGGCCGGCAGAACCTGTCACTGTGACAGCCTACCACTGTCACAGTGATAGGTAGGGAAATTACAATTTTGCCCCTTTGGATTATTTTGAAAAATGTGAAGTTGGTGATAAATTTATCATTTTAATTTCAAATATCATTTCAACACATTTTTTAATACGCTAACTCAAATAAAAATCTATCTCATCTTCTCAAATACAAAAACAAAAATAACCGACTAAAATAATCCAAAAACTTCTAAAATAATCAATACCCAAACACCTACATAATAACTCACATCAAAGATGAATTTAAACGTCATCATAAGATAAATTTAGAGTAGAGTTTTAAGTATTTCTGAAAATATATTTTTGTTGAAAAAAAAAAAATGTCCCACCTATAAATAGTACATTGCCAATGCCACATGCGTGCCTGCCTATCTGGGCAACACCAGTCTGCCGAAGGCTGTATATATCTGAAACAGCGGCATTGTGCTCTGCCCCTCTCTCTCTCTCTCTTTTACGATTCTTCGATCGAATTTACAGCTTCCCATTAATGGGTTCTCTGCTCGGTGACTGGCCTTCCTTCGACCCTCACAACTTCAGCCAACTTCGACCCTCTGATCCGTCAAATCCTTCGGTAACTACTCTTCCTTTTTCTTTTCTTTTTTTAAGCTTAATCTAAGCAAGCTTTTGATATGATTGAGCTATTTTTTGATATGGGAAGTTTTGATCTTGCGTGATCGTGATGCTGTTCTTGTTTTGCTGTTGATTTATGCTTACTTTTGTTTAAGAAAATACCCACATGAAGTTAAAGAGTGTTTTTTTGTTGAGTTGAGTTTTGAAGTGAAATGCACTTTATGGTTTTGCTCCTAGTTTTAGGGTTAGGGTTTTTTTGGAATTCTTCTGTTCATCATTGGAGTTTTAACTTGAGATTTGTTAAAAATTATATCAATTAAAGTTATATGTATGTTTGAAGTTTTGAAATTTGGGGGTTTTATGTTATGAAACATGGGAGTGTAAGATTTGCTAATGATTTTCTATGTTCAGTGAATTCTGTCAGTCTAAATTGTGTTTGAACTAGATAAACTTAATTCATGGTAATTGAATTTATGACCTAAGAAGAATGGATACTTCTAAGAAGGTGACGGCATGGACACTTCTAAGAAGGTAACATGTTGTGTCCGACACGATACTCGTTAGACACTTTCCAACACTTGGACACATGAAACACACTATGAATTTGATTAAAATAACCTGAAATCTAATGATAAAATAAAACAATATAAATTTATACCCATTCTACTCCTTTTGACTTTAAAATTATTATTTTTAACTTAAATGTTCACGTGTATGACATATGATAATTATTCATTCTTATATATGACATATATAATAAATATATAAAACTATAAATTTTGCACGTGTCCCTCACGTGTCGTGTCTTACATTTTTTTAAAAATTTTCATGTTCATGTTGTGTCAAGTGGCCTCCCATGCTCCACACATATCAAATTATGACTTTCACATGCAAACCCCATGAAATGTGGAAAGCTAGAAGCTAGAACTTGAGCATGGGTAATGCCGCCAATTTGTGGTGGTTTGTAATTTTCACTTATATGCGTGCTTTTAGCATTTATGTAGTGATGGAAGCTGCAGGCGGGACAATTGGGGTGTCTATAAATGCACTTATGCCAGCAATGCAACACACGACATTGCAGCCACATGGATAAAACTTCTATGCTTTCAAATTGTTAACTTTTCCTGGATCTGTTGAATATTACTTTAATGGCAATATCACCGTTAGAATGGAAAAGTTTTTAGTATGCTATATTTAGTTCAATGCCTTGGTAAATTGTGTAGGAACCCTAAAACAGACATTAACTGATGGTTCAATGCAATCCGTTTATTGGTTTCCAAAAACCTAATGACAGTAGGGAATGTGTTACGGTGGAAATGTCTTGTACATTTAAATATACTTTTTGCATGTTTAAAATTTAAGTTGAAATAAAAAATTATCCCATTGTTATTCCTAATAGCTGAAGTGAATTATACTTTTTGTTACTTTTTTACTTTTTGAGTGCCATGAGGAGAACACAGATGAAGCTATCTTTTCTGCTTTTACATATTTTTTCCCTCTTATGTGCTAAACCCATTAACTCATAATTGAAAGCTAAAATCACAATGGTCTTGTATGAATTGGCTTATATGTCTCTTTGAAAAAAATCTGTTTAGGCATGGTTTCAAGTCTTAATCTACTTTCCAAAAAGAAAAAAAGAAAAAAGGTATTGATCTGGGATTTGGAATGACTTGTTTTGGGGAAACCAACTGTGTGGCAGGCAGAATAATGTGATTCCAATTTATGCAATGAAAATGACAAAAAAAGAATAAGAATCCAGAGCTGAGAACTACGGTGATATCATGAATACAAGAATCCAATTTGGAGGATTAAGTGTGTAAAATTTGCAGTATTTCTATCACACACTTGTCCCATGTCACACTTGGGACATTGTTGAATAGGACAAACCATAATGTCGTTGAAAAATTAATGCTTGTTGGGCTGAACATAAAATTTGAACGGGTTTTTCTTACAACACTGAAAGAGAGGCTACATAAATTACTAAATTGGGAGAGGGAAAGCAGGTGTTTGGTAGTGTAGATGATTAAAACAACAACTAGCATATGTCCGCACATATGGCAGAAGAATAAGAATAATAAGAATATAAATCAATGTGGTAAGTGCTAAAGAAGATGTAGCAAGTAATAGTGCCATAAGTGTAAAGCTGGTGTTGTCCATTGCCAAGAGGGCAGAATAGTGTTAAAGAGTTTCTCACGAGGAAAGGAGTAACCTTGGAGCCTTCTGGAAGAGTAAAAGCATATGAATTGAGGTATTGGATTGATGGTCTTAGTTTTTGAAGGAGTGAGGGGAAGAAAAGGAAGAAATAGTGTCCAGGGCGGGATACCTAATTCGCATTAATGGGCCACTACAGAGTTACAAATGCATGTCAGAGATACCGATATTATTGGTGATACTTTTCAATGAATCCAAAATGTCCAACACGTGGAAATGTTTTTTGAAACTTTGAAAGTTGCCCTTGACTTGTAAAGTTTTTATGGCTTGAAACCATGCAGCACCATTATATATTGGTTGATGCACAATCGTAGCATGCATGACCGAAACCATGATCCTGCACTTCATTCTGAGCTGCATACTGATGAGTGGGCACATTTATTCTTTACTTTATTTGCTAAACTTTCACTAATCTGTTTATATAGAGATACTATGCTGGTGAACTTATCTGGATTAACCTTTATCTTTGCGGGGTAAACGTCACCTGTGCTCGGGAATCTGGTAATCAGTTTAGAGTTATGGAGATGTTTAAATGGTGTGAGACATTTTTTAGAACTGGAGCCTATTTGTAGTAATAAAGTTGTCAAACTTTCTCGATTGAGATCTCAATACATTTAGACTCTGGAGGGTTTTATGCTAAAGCAATAGATAATAATGTCTAGGACTCTAGCTTCCGATTGCTATCTGTAGATTGCTGAATGTTTTCTATACAAATGGGCAACCATATAGCTTACTTTTTGTTTTATTTTTTGATAAATAAACAAATATTATTAAAAAGTATCAAGGAGATGTAACAAATACAAAACTGCTGCCCCAGTTAGGGGGAAACAAAAAAAAAAAAAAAAAAAAACAAGCACTAGCCAATCACATCATCTAAGAAATCTAAGAAGACAAATAGGTCCATATCAACTTTCTCCTCCAACCAACTATATAAAACCACAAGAAGATGATTCTCTAACCAAGAGACACCATGTGACACCTCAGAAAAGGTGCGTCTATTCCGCTCCAACCAAACAAGCCATATTAAACAGAATGGCGCCAAGCCAACAACTACACCCACCGGCATCGATGCCCAAGCCGAACACCCCGTCAAACCCAAAGCAACTCCAACACTCCCTTCGGTTGAACCCAAGCAATCCCAAAAAGTGAGCAAACAAAACCTCACAATCGTGATGCCACCAAACAATGAAAAAACAAATGGTTCACCGACTCTACATCCGTACAACACATACAACACCGATTTACTAAAACATGCCCCCATTGCATCAAATTATCCAAAGTGAGATTCATTCCTAAAACTACCGTCCACATGAAGAAAGCAACCTTAGATGGAACCCCCGGAACCCAAACACTCTTCCAAAAAAATACCCCTCCACCATCCCCCATCAACCCCCGATAAAGTGATGTTACTGTGAAACGTCCCTTTGCCCCCACCTCATTCCATTACTTTGTGGCCCTCCTCCCCAGTCATCCCCAAACTGTATAAAAAAATCCCACAACTCCACCAACTGAGCAACCACCCAATCCTGCACCTCCTGCCGTAACTGAGTACCCCAATAGAGGTTTTTGACTTGTGTGAATGGGTGTTTCAAGAACAGAAACTTCACTGATGTTAATTTTCATGTTCCTCGTCTATGTCAAGAGCTAAAAGTGCATCAACTATTGTTCTTTTGATGCTTTTGTTTCAAAAAGTAGTGATATATAAAAAAGTATGCCATCTTCTGTTCTGAAATTATGTTTCTGTTTGTGTCAGAAAATGACGCCTGTCACTTATCATCCTACTCATGATCGGACCCTTCCGCCCCCTAATCAAGGTAAAGAGATTAAACTTTATCTCTTGATATCATTAAAATTTATTTTTTATTACCCATGTGCTAGTTACCTTTAGAAATTAACTTGTTTTGTATTTACTTAATTCATGATTACAATTGTGCGACTATTTTAGGTTTATTTTCTTCAGTCTTTTGGAAATGTAACTCAGGAGGCCAATTGTGTATCCAGATTGGATGCCTAAATACATATTATGGCATGCAGATCTTAGAAAATTCGATCACTGGACACATTTATTCAAAAAATTCCGCACTTCAAATGCATATGTCAACGTAATTTATTGAAAGTTTGAGAATAATCATCAAAACTTCTGACTTTTAGGTAAAATTTTAATGTAGTAGATGTCAAACTGCGTACTTGGAAATTTGTCTGGATCATATCTTTTTAAAGGCTTTAGATTTATGGATATATTCATATAATATTTTTGTTTTTGATAATTAAGTATATCATTAACCATTATGGATGTCTTTCTTATGAGTTACGTATGTTGAAATTTAAAGATAAACAGGGAGCTGTCAGATTTATAAGTTGTCCAATGACTTGAGTTCAATGAATGGTAGTAGTAGGGACTAGGGAACCAACCCTTGATTTTATCTTTTTTCTTATGAGGGGATTATATGAGAGAAGAATATTTAAATTGTAAAACTACTAGTGACTGGTTGAAGTAGTTCAGATATAATAATTTCTCGTATATACCACTTATTGAAATGTGGTTTAGATGGACTCCTGGCATCCATTATTTTCGGTACCCTTTCTACATCCTGGCCATGATGGTATTAATATGTTTGTCTGAGGAGATTTAGCCTCAAAGGTGATGTGAAAAACTGATCTTAATCTTTTTGGTGCATGATTGATGTGCCAAATGTTATGGACATTTTTGGGCACTATCGAGGATTTGTCTTTATTTTATTGCTGCGTATTAGCTCACAAATATATTGCATGTTATGACAACTACAGCTTGATATTCTTTGCAAGTGTATTATGTTAGAAAGTAGGACACTTGTTGTAGACTGGTAGTTGATTCAATTCTAACTTTTCAAACCTTTATTATGTTATGAAGACTGTTCAACCTTGTTGAGTTTATTCAAGACTCAGTAGTGAAAGTTGTCCAAACTTTCTTGGTAGTCTTGATTCAAATTTTGTGTAGTATGTTAGCTTAAAATTGTTGTCTCATCGTGTAACTGACATGAGTTATTGTAACCCTTTTGGCAGTGATATCTTCAGAAGCCAAAAATATACTTCTTAGACATATGTATGAGGGTTCTAAAGAGGTTAGAGTTCATCATACAATCATAATCTATGCAACACATAGAATGTATGATATGTGTATTGCACATGCACACAGATGCATGTAAGCATGCACAAGAGAGTGAGAGAGAAGTTTTTCCTTTTTGCTCCTCACTTTCTTTATGCTTTTTCAGCTGAGACCAAAGAGACCTGCCTCCGAACTTCTGACACCAGAGCATGGAAACAAGCATCCAAGGGCTTCTGCTTCAGACACCCCTCCCAACTGAGCTTTCCAGTCACTGATTGACGGTTTTGAGAGTTTTTTTTTTTTTTTTGGAAGTCCGAGTAAATATTCCCATCATCATAATGTAGATGTGTACGTGTGTGTGTGTGGTGTAAGTGGAAAAGGGAACTTGTTTGCTTATTGTTGTATTGTACATTTTGCATGTATAAACTACACAGTTGTTCATCGTCATCGTCATCGTCATCGGCCCCTTATTTCACCGATCCCAAATCATGTTACAGAAGCCAAGTATGTGTTTGACTCTCGGGTTGATTCTCCCTGGATTTTGTGGTGAATTTAATAATTACAGTAATGCCATCTTGAGGAAGTTTGCTGTTAGATGGTATGGCATATGTTATATGTTCCACATAACCATGTTGAATGACCGGTCCACATGCAGGATTGCTGTCATTTTTTGTTCATTTTACATGAATTGTTGGCAAATAGTTGATTAGATTAGCACAGGTAAGTAGGTGGTCAATTAAAAATGATCAATAGGTGAGTGTCCAATGTCTGTTTTTGGGTATTGGTTGGAGCATCTCCAAAAAAGAAGGCAAAGGAGCTACATGAGGTATTTTTGCTAGTAAAGTTGGTTTTCTCTTTCTCTAACAGGTTTTACATAACAGGAGGTATTTTGTCCATTTTCATTGTCGTTCTCAACATCTAGCTAGCCTCCATTGCTAGGCAAAAGGATTTTTCCGTTGTTTTGAGATCTCCATCTCTACTTGCTCCCGCAATTTTTATTACATTGCTGTTTGTTTCAATCCATTATTATTTTTAAAAATATGATTGTGCAAAAATATTATTTGAAAAATAAGTTACTGATGGATCGTTACACAAACTAAAATTAAACATAAAATTACATCAAATTCTTTTAGAATAATGGCAAGTCTAGGTATCGACCCACAGGGACAATTGTGAAATTAAATTAATTTAATTGTTAAATTTTTAAATTAATTTTGATGAAAAGATTGATTGTTTATAATCTAATTTAATAATAAATAAATTAAATTAAGTAATTAAATTATCAATTATAAATTAAATTGGATTTACTAATTTGGGAAAAATTTAGGGCAATGAGTCCACTACTAGTTACGTAAATAGGGTTTCAAATTGAAAACAATTATGTTATGGTTCGAACGGAATAATGATTCGCAACTACAAGTTCAAAGCATTTAATAAGAAAATTATCACGTTCAATGTACGAGTACGAATCATCTCAAGTGGTACGAATTGTTTACTTTAAACTAAGGTAGTGACACGACTCGTCTCTCGTAGTATGGTTCGTCTCATACCTTGAATGTGAAAGAATAGAAAACTTTTGTATGGAAAACATTCAACAATCATAGAAAGCTGAATATTTGAAGAAATAATGAAAAATGTATATATGAAACTTCTAAAACACCGTACAATTATTCAAACCTTTACATAATTGAAAATCAAAAAGAAAAACCTAATTACATGGCGAAGGTTTTATCAAAACCCTAGCAAAGAAAACTAGTCACTCATGGAGGAGTGGGAATAGGAAGAAGATGAGGAAGAAGATCCTATGGAAGTGTCCTTCAAGTTCTTTGGAGAAAATCACCTCTTGGAACCCTAGCCTCTTTTTCCTTGCAAAAACAATTTTAGAACCTTAATTCAGCCTTATTCTTGTCTATTTGTACTTCTAATGTCTTGCAAACAGGTTTAAAACATCAAGCTCGTTTTCTTAGAAAAGTCAATGCACGTGTGGACAAAGTCAACGCACGTGCGCGAATCAGTTTTCTCTTCAAATTCTGTATTTTTGCCCATTTTATGCTTCGACTATGTACAACCTGGTTGACATCAAACAGACATAAAGTATATAGTTTGACAAGTAAGTAAAGTTAAGAGATCCTAATTAACGGTCTCAATGTTGTACAATTCGGCCTTAATCACATCCCTTAACTTACAACTTGCTAGTCCTCAAGAAAGTAATAAAAATAAAATAAAATAAAACAAAATCTAACTATTTCCTCTTTTGTGGAAAAACGGTTGCATTTAGCATATGCAACAAGCCTTTAAACCACAAAGTTACCCCAAGTGGATGAGTAAAGTCTCGTGAGGGTTTCCAGAAATGATACCCACAAACATTAACATATTCATATATACTCAATAACAATTAACCACACTACTCCACCTAACAATCAACTTATGTGCCACTACAGTGTGATATTAAGACATAATGAGTCATTAAAGGCACAGTGGACAAGCATGAATGAACTTATTGAGTCAAAACCACAATTCAGTTAATACAAAAATAAAGTCCCCTGTACTTGTGCATGCTAGTAGACAAATCATCAGTACCCTCGGTGTAAAGTGTAATCTCCCTATTAGTTAATTGTCCACTATAATAGCTCAGTGTAACTCATAATAACACCCAACATATACAGAAAAACTAAACTGTTACAGTTAAGATGCTCAAAAGTTTTTTTTTTTTTAATTTTTTTAATGACTGTGCAATGTCATGATCCATTAAGCTTTCTAATCAACCCATGTAACAAGCGTTGGGCCAATGACTCCCAAACCAGACGGTTTTAGGGCACTAGGTGTGAAAACACCCCTACGGCCTTAGTAACTCGAGTTGAAAAGGTTACAAATCCGAACAAGTCATTCTTCTTATTTTTCCTTAACTGTGCAATGTCTAAGTCCCTTAAGCTTTCTAATTAACTCATGTAGCAAGTATTGGGCCAATGACTCCCAAACCAGACGGTTTTAGATGATTTTAGGACACTAAGTGTGAAAACACCCCCATGGGCTTAATAACTCGAGTTAAAAAGGCTACGAACCCAAACTAGTCAAGTGTTTTTTTTTTTTTTTTTTTAAGAATCTTGGCTCCTAATTTATTCTTTTCTGCAACCTTAGCTATTATCAATGATGTACACCAGGGATTAAAATAAAAAGATCACTGCTATGATAGTGTGTTCATGTGAATTAAGGCATACTCATGACAAGTGTACTAATATCACAAACACAAATAACTCTTCTCGTGCAAATATTGCATGTAAGTATCTACCCAATAAACCCTTTTTCATACAAGTCTACTATGCTCTCCAATTAACATATGCAAATATCATTACCCTACTAGCAGCAAGTCACATCAAGTGAAGTAATGCAATCAAGTGACACATGTATAAGCATGAATTATGAGCCAAATAGAAATGCACAAAAGAAAATACAACCCTCATCCCCCAACTTGAATATGACATTGTCCTCAATAGAAAAGTAAAGAGAAATGAGAGAAGACTACTAGAGATTGTAGGTGCACATCTAGGTAGGCATATGTGGACTCGACTTTCTTCGCGCCCCTTTTCGGAGAGCTCGAATTGGTTCTACAGTTCGGACTCCTGTCACCGTTCTGAATCTAATCTCACAAAGTGTAATGTGAGACTGATAAACATCATAGAGTCCAATCCGGCAAATCTTTTTGGAAAATTGATTTTGAATCAAATGATGCCAAAACTAGACTGCCTTGCCAGATTACAGAGTCGTCACCTAAATATTTTATTTTTGAGAAATTTAGGAAACCCTGACTCATGCCAAAGGCCACGTGTTCATCATCACCAAAGTTACCTTGGCTCGGGAACTTGGGTACGAGAGGGGAAGGTCTTGAAATGAGCACCGCCGCTCGCCCGATCAAAGGATCGGTCTCTACTAAGCATGATATGTTGTTTTATAAATCTCATGTATTCTTATTCCTTTTATTAATCTAACTTTACTAAGTGACGCACACAAGCAAGTATAGACTCAATTGCAAGAATTGGAACAAAATAACTCGTGTTTGTTTTCGAAAATGATTTGAAAATGCCACCCTCAAGTGGGCTAAAGCGCGGATTTGTCACCCTCAAGTGGGCTTAAAACATAATGATTTGCCACACTCGCAAAGTGGGCTTAAAACTCACATTTATCGAATTGATCCAATTCAAGCAACCAAGCCTTTATCCACAGGCATTCAAGCAATTAAGCAAATAAGCAAATAGCCTCATGGCAAGCATGCTATCATGGCAACACTCACACTCATGCAAGGATGCTTAAGCGTAAAGACTTACAGTGTACTCCGAGCCAAAACAAAAGCTAGTTAGCAATAATGCATGATCCTAATTATGCTAGATGTCTAATGCAACACATGCAATAATGCAATTAATAGGCCGGGCTACCTAATCATGGTATACGAAGCAACTTGACAACATACTTTGAAACACGTATTCAAATAGGTGTATTGAAATACGATGTAGTTTGAATGATGCGCCGAGCCTCGGTGTATGCAAGACAAATGAATGATGCAAACATGCAAGCATAAGGTATGCTAATTGAAAATGATCCCTAATCTAACCATCGAAAGTGGATAAATAAAAGGGAGAAAAACGTGGGGTTGGAAGACATGCACACACACACGCACACTTATTACAACATTGTGCCCTCGCGAAGGAGGGTCCGAATAAATAAGCTAAGTTATACCAAGCTAAGTTAATTATTACAAAACAACTAATTAACTATTCTAGCTAATTAATTATTACAAACCGAATTGAAATAAATTAACTAACTATGCTAAGCTAATTAAAATATTACAAAACAAATTGAATGATTAACTACAACACACGTAATAATCAACCACAACTAGCTATATAAGCAATAAAGTGGCCTCGCGGGCGAGGGAGACATGCATACTCGTTCGGTTTCCCCCCAAAAATCCATCGCCTTGCCACCGGTTGCCCCTGTTTGCACTTGCTGTGATCTTTGAACACTGTACAAACTTCCAGATTGCCTTTGCTCCAACACATGAACACATTGGACAACCTTTGCACTGGTGGCCGGTCAGCTATTGCAAGTGGCCAGTTGGCTACCTCACCTGGCCAGTCGGCTAGTAAAAGTGGCCGGTTGGCTACTACAAGTGGCCAGTCGGCCACCCATTTTTCCAAACTTCTGTTTTTGCTGCAACAGAGAACAATAGAGCGAAAGCAATGCATTTTTCAAGGAATGTGTGTACTACCACCTTCCTTATCACGTCTCAAGCTCAAAGGAGTATGACACTTGGCTCTCAAGCCACCAATCAAGCATTTTCATGCATGATGGCCAAAGAGCCAAGCTTGTACAAGCTTGCTAAATGCACAAATAAGACTCAAATGGCCACCCCCCTATCATGCATAATCAAGGATGACGGCGACCAAGAAATGTGATACGTTCCATCACTTTAAGTATGAAACGTCCCACATTTCTTGTGTTTGGATTAACGTCCGATCCAAACACATGTAATGCAACACGCATATGTTTATCTTGCTTAAGTTTTACTTTGCTCATTTTGTTTACACATTTTAAATTACCAAGCCATTCTT